TTTGATAAAACAAAGATAACAATATGTTTTTAACGGAGATTTTGGTCTCAAAAACCCACGATTACTAATTTTAAATTACTGACAAAAAAACATTATGTATTATAATAATTGCACCGTGAATAAGATAAGGGTCTAGAAATATACCTATGTATACCTGAGACCGAGTATATAAAATTCCGGTATATATGAAGTGTGCAATATTACAAGACATTATTCTGATTATATTCAATGAGAAATAAATTAGTAAAAACATGATTCATGTAAACTAGCATTTTTAAAATGTACGAAGTCTTTGAAACACGTCAGACGTTGTAAAGGCGGAACGAAAAGTTATTAGTGACGGTCGGTCGCGGGTCTCGGGTTGCGGGCTCACCTATCCTGACAGTACGCTAGCTGGATTCGTTCCAACGGCTAATATACCATTCTGTTTGTCTTTCGAGCCAATAAAATGACTTTTATGCAAATCATACGAATTCTATACATTTTTGATGAGTTAGCCCGCGACGCATTCGAGCCGTTTAATTAATATTTTTCCATCTAAAGTTTGAAACTTTAAATTGTTTGATTTCATCTGAATGTTTAGTTAGATAGTTAAATATTTGTTATATCCTTTTGTTAAAGGTTTATTTTAGGATAGACAGAAATTGTCGTCTTTGTTAATAAATTCTTTTAAACTTAACCTATAAATTAAGATTTACCAAATGAATAATAAAAATAGAATACTATATAAACGTAATTAAAAATGCAATGTAATGCGCAATTTAATTTTTAATTCAACAAAATCGAAAACCTATTGTACACTATATAATAAACGCATTAAATTAACTGAAGCATGCGAATGAATTGCAAATATTTTAAAAATATAATATATTTTGCTGACGTGCAATATGTTTACTGAAATTTCTCGACTCACTGGTTCAGATACAGGTTTTATATCACGAACAAATTAAAGTTTCCGCATCGATTTCGCAAAGCATAACAGAAACTAATAACATCATATCAAAGGAAAAACTAAACGACTCTTATCTTGAAACAATTTTGAGCGTTATTGTACCTTAATAACGGATTTTGATTCAACCTTAATTTTTACGACTGACATCTTTAGAATTGTGACATTGATAATATTATATTAAATTGAAATTTTCTGTTTGCATTACAATGTTATATTTTAATTTTGTTAAAGCTCGAAAAGCTCTACAATATAAAAGATAATTATGTTTTTCAAAGGACCATTCGTAAAGCAACGTCTAATTTTTATATTATTATTTTAAATAAACACTCATGGAGTCATCTCCCTCACACAGCTTGGTATACGAGTACGAGAGGTTTTTTATCTGTTTGTGTCGGGTGAACCGCGTCCCTGCGAACTGCTTTATGTTGTAAAAATCAAGCCCATTTCAGTCTACACGGACTCGACGTCGCGGATTCTTTGAACGAAATGGAAATTAGAGGCTGAAAGAGAAAATTAGCTTGTATTTTAAAATATACAACCGGTAGAGAATTTATGTATATAAATATAAATAAGTTCAAATTACACATAATTTATTTATATCGACAAAATGTTTGTGTATGTTTAAAAATATACTGTTAGTGTAGTTAATGTATTGATATAAAATTATTGTCGTATTTTTATTTTGTGTTTAATTTGAATATTTGGAATAACATACAAGTTAATACAGCTGTATAATTTGTAAAATAAGAGCTATATAATACGAGTATTTAAAATTTAAGTTTTAGGAAATTAATAAGCAAATGTTTTTGTATTATTAATTAATATGATTGTTGAGACCTTAATTGAGATAGAATACCTTTTTACCAGTAATGAGATGATAAAATCTGACAAGGCATGAACGTGCGGTGCATTTTGATTTAAATTACAACTTCCCGTGGCCAACCGGAGATTAAACCCCATTAAAACGGAAGAAAATATGAAAACAAATCTAAATAAAAAACACCCCTTTGCTGTAAATTGTAAGAGATCCTAATTTACAAAAAGAGTGTTTGTATAACAATTTTCAAAAAACATCACCATGTATAGCTTAACAAGAATCGTAAATAGTTAATGTAAAAAAGTAGCAAGATATTTGCAACATTTTTTTTTGGTAAAAGAACTTAAATTTAAACAACAAAATAAAAATTTAAGCAGAAAGTTTAATTTTGTAATACATTAAAATGCTTCTTACTCACATAAATAAACATAATCTCTTATTAAATCAAAATGAAAAGTTAATTAAAACATTCAATAACATCATAGTAAAATTAATAACGTTACTTATACAATGCGAAAAAATACTAAACAAATCATGTAAAATACTTTATAATATAAATAACTTGTCGTTTAGTACTAAAACATCAACTAACTAAATCTTACCAAAATAAAAGATGCAGAAAGACGCAGAAATTTTCATTCTAATGACTACAGTTTTTCACTTAAATGATGCTACGAGCGAGGTAAGTTTTGTCGTAGCACGTCTACGCGGTTAGGCGCTACGCCGCCTAGAGACGCGAGCTGTCTGAGCGGTGGATGAGCCGGCGTTGCCTTATATTGTCTGTGGGGCCTCCCTCACCCACCTAAACATACCCTTCCCGCCGAAACGACGCCCGTAAACTCCGTTACGAAAATTGCCCTACGTAACAAAAACGCAATGAGCTAGCGTTCCGTAGATACGATACAAAAGAAATTTCATAGATAAATTTTAGGTTGTATTGTAAAAATAAAAATTACCTACTATTAAATTTTAAGATTAATCGGCATGATAATGTTTTTATTATAAAATCTAAAATAGTTGTAGTAAAATGATTTACTTGATATAACAAAATAAAGCGACTAGAATTAAGACAAAAGCCAAGATTGTTTGAACACTACCCTATATAAACGAACCCAACAACTCTGAGTAAACTACTATATTATTGTGTTGAAAGATCTGTTTATAATGTGTAACCTTTGTGACTAACGAACTTTTTGATTACTTAGATACAAATGTTGAGAAATAACAGTTTGAATTTGATTTTTATACTAGTTGTCGTGTTATACTGATATTGGCCAGTCAAAGCTAAACCCCATTTTAAATTAAAAAAAATCAAAGAACGTTTTAAATATAAAAAAAAGTTATTTATGCGTAATGAAGTACATAGTAGAGTATCTCATGCTGTTATAATTAACAAATTATTTAAAAGGAACACATATTTACCTTGCGCTTCCTCATGCACGAAACATATGCTTTGATCACAAATCACAAAAAGACAGATCGGTTTACATCATATGATGTGCTACAATACTTTTATAGAGGTACATATCTTAATACGAATAAAAATACTAAAAAACAATACGAGTTTGTTTACATTAAACTATACAAAATAGGATATTACAAGATGTTGTGGGGCGGCCACAAGCGCCGTCTGGCGGCGGACGGGTGAAACTGTTGCTAGGGCGGCCGGGCCCGGGGTAGCGAGGGTGCTTCGTCCCTCTCGCACGCACTCTTTATCTACGAGCCGCGTTACGCAAAAACGAGGCTTTTATCAATGACATAGGTAATATAACTAGTAAGCTTGCGGCGTACGCTACCTCGGCCGCCCCGAGGCTGCGCGTAGTGGCCTTGATCGGGCCTGATGTTTTCATCCCGCGAGCGTAATAAAGCGTTTAGGGAGGGGACAGGCGACTCCTACTGAAAGATTTATGGTGAAATCTGTAGAATTAGTTCGCGCCGACTTTAAGTCTCCACTCTGCTAAGGGGTGAAAGATCTGTACTACATTGTCATAGATTTATACTATCATGTATATTGCCCAGTAAAAGTTTTTAATTTCGATGTATATCAGTACCGGTAACTGTAACAATGAAACACTTGGCCATATTCGTGTCCAATATTTCTTACTTACGTTGACTGAAAGAAGTCTCTTCTTTATAAAATTATTTTGCAATATCATAGCCGTTGTTAGCTGTAAGTCAGTGTGGACATGAAATAAAACGGATTTCCATCAGCAACTACGTCTTGTGTAATGGCATAGCGTAGATTCATTTAGTCTGCTGACTTGTTTGAACACGGATATTACCTCGATATCAATACAATTTAAAGTCATAAACATGGCCACTTATCTTCTTCAGCAGGATTCCAAAACCGCAAACTATTGCTGATAACCGTTATTTTTATCACTCCAAGTAACAATGTTTAGTGTAATAGGATCGTAACAAATAGCATCAATAGTTTGATCCGAAATCAAATAATTTTTTATGTCTTCTCTCTTGGGGTTTTCGAATTTAAAGTTATCTACAAAAATTAACCTTATAAGGCTGTAATGACAGACTTACTAAAAACAAATTTGTTTGGTTTGTCTGAACAATTTATCATGGGTTTATGACACTATAATATTATACAACACTATATTTAAAACATCTTGTTATCTCTGTTTTGTTAAAGATAATGACAGGGATGACGATATGTTTTATATAGAGACTAGCGGACCCGACAGACGTTGTCCTGTCTACACGTCTTTAATTCGAATATTATTTAAAATTTGACACTGCGACGGTAGCGCTGTCTGTCGGATCCAATGTGAAGCATTCCAAAATCAACAACTACTAATAAATTAAAAATTAATAAAAAAAACATTGTCCAGCGGACAAAATTGTGAATCTAAACCATTCCCAGATCCCCTAGAACACACACAAAAAATTTCATCAAAATCGGTCCAGTCGTTTGAGAGAAGTTCGGTGACATACACACTCACAGAAGAATTATATATATAAAGATTTTGATCCCAGATATCAACAGTTAAATAACATACCTCTCCGAGACAAATTCAGACAATATATCATATTGTCAGTAAGAAGTGCAAATACAATATCTCATTTGCATTGAATTTGACTTAACTGTACTGAGAATAACAAGAAATAATACTAGCAAACTGTTAACACTAACAACAACAACTAACAAACATAAATTTGAAATTCTATGGTACTAGGATAATGATGTTTATGCATTGGCAAAATAAAGAATAAAGATAAGCGTAACAAAACACTTTATTTTTACAAAAATAAGTACGAAACATTTAATATTTTTTCATAATACATATCTATTTTGGTTATAAATGCTTTAAACTTAATAAAAAATTGTACTTAACAAAATTTTGTAACTAAAACAGACAAAATTAAAATTGTGATATTTTTTAAACAAATATTTTCTTATAACCATTACATTTTTGTACTTTTTTAATATAATTTAACCAATCAACATTGGTTCAAGTTTTCCTGAATCGTAAAGAGCTTTGACATCGGAACCGCCACCCACACAGTTTCCGTTGATGAACACTTGTGGCACCTGGAAAGTGAAAAACAACATAACTCACACCCTGAACCCAGAGGAGCAGCCAGAGAACATGAATCTCTATTTGACTGGGACTTCCATGTAATAAAGTCTATTAAAATAAAATTTAATATTATTAATGCAAAAGTTTGGATGGATGTATAAATGTTTCCATGTTATTCTAGCATGGCTGAGTGGAAATGGATAAAATATGGAACAGATATAGAGTTTAACATAGTGTAAAGTCTACTAGACAGGTTATTTAATCCAATTGAAATAGTCACAAGCCATAGCTGGTGCTTAATAATGTTAAAAGAAGTAGCATCCTAAAGTCCATTACGGTTTAAAGAACATTCTAAAATTGCAAACAGAGGAGCAAAATGCTAATTTAATATTCTTTGAATACTTGACATATGTTAAGAAATTATTTCTTGTATTAAGATAATTTTAGTGAAGTTAATACTTTAATCTCTAATGTTCAGAGTCTTCTCATTGATTCTAAAATTTGTCAGGTAACAACATACTTTTTTGTAAAAATATCTAGACATAAGGATTAATACGGCCTTAGGTAATACTCTATAATATGGTAAATTTGATAGTTCAACACATGACCGAAGATATACTGTATGTTTAGTTTCAACTGATAACCTTAGAAAAGGTTATAGTGAATGTTTTGGTATTGCATAAATATGTTGAAATTTACTTTTATCATATTATTCACACAACACCTTTTAATACCACAAATAAAAAGAAAAATTAATATATATTTTTTTTAAATTTAGACTTCACTATTTAAACTTTATCACTTTGACCTTATTTGATATGTTATTTTTTCATATGAAACCAAATATCATTACATTACATTTTTTGCATATGTTGTAAATTAAAAGTTTTTGAAATTAATACAAAATTACCAAAAGATTAAAAAAGTTGTTTTTAATATATTTAGTATGTTAAATGAGAGTTAAAAACATTGTACTAAATTCTATTAGCACTGATGATGTCATTATCTTATGAAATACTTAAAATTAAACTTACTGTTCGGAACCCGGTTAATTCTGCCAGGTTTTCCTGGATAACACTGCCGTCATCGCGCTCGTTTAATTCAATTACTGTTATCGGTTGCTTCACTTTTGCGAAGACCTGAAAACAAAATTAAAAAGTACAATTAAGGTTAATCCTGAAACCTTAAAACGTATCAAATTTAAATCTTAAAACATGGTTATACAACTTAATTAATTTAAAATTCACATTAAAATCATGATTTAATTATAAAATTAAATAAACTTACATCTTTCGCCAACGTACAATAGGGACAATAAGATTTTGAAAACACCACTACTTTGTCTTTAGACACGGCATCCTTGATGAATTGTTTTATTTCAGCTGTACTTGCCATTGTCGCGGTTCTTGCTTTAGTGGCTAGAGATCCCATAAAATGTGGTTAATATATTAAATCAAATTTTGATATTGCAAATGATGTTGTAAGTTGAAAAGATGAATTTGGTTGGTTTGGGTGTCAGTTGTCAATTTTTCAAGTCATGACAGTGACAGCTGACAGTGTCACTTGACATTTAAATGTTAAAAGAGTAAAAAACAGTAGAAAAAATACTAAAGTGCAATGAAAAAAACGTTTTTAGAGATAAAATAAATAAAAATTGTATAAATAATAAAAAATGTGGACAAACACTAAACTAAACCAAATTCTCATGTTCACTACAGTGTCTAAATAGTGACTTAAGAATAAACCACATATCGGTATTGAAGCGACTTTGTTTATGATCTATAAATATTGGGTAATTACTATTTGTTTTTTTTTATGCACTTTAACTAAGAATCTTAAAGCAACAAGAAACTTTTAAGGTCAAGAAAACTCTGCTGCAAATTTTTATGTCTGGCAGATATAGTTTTTCGCGAGCATGCATTCGATGGTTTCTGAGACCAAGCCCACGTCTAAAGCATATTGTTATTCTGTTTTGTCAAAGATAATAAGAGGATACAATGATATGTTTTTTACAGGGATTTTTTTCTCTTGTTGCCTCAACCGCTGAACTGATTTTGACAAGTGAGGTGTATATAACACTTAACTTAACCGCTGATCTGTTTGTGTTGATATAAGTTTAAATTGAGAGCTAAGAATTTCGTTGCTCCACGGTATATGTGGTATCCTTAGCCTTCCATATAATTTGCCATTTAGATCTGAAGTCGCAAGTTTGATGTATGTCTTATGAGCTGTAGTAATTAGCTAACGGTGAATACTCGATTGTACCGTACAGCGAAATGTTCGCGTCGCGGCACATGCTCGATTCAAACCTCTATTGACCAGTGCTGCAACGATGGGAATAAGTAATAATGAATGATTATTACACATACACGCACACATTCATACACTTTTGTGTACGAAGTGTGGCAGTGCTTTGTTCAAGACATTTTACTTTCGGTTGCTTTTGTTCCTATCACGTATTTGTTCATTAACTCAGGGTCATTGACGAATCACTTTTCCTTTTTTAACACTTATTATCTCTTTATTTGAAGCATAGCTCCCCAACACTGAAAGAATTTATCACATCGGTTCAGTGGTTTCGGAGCTGGAGGAGTATTCAATGCAAATAAACAAACAAAGAAATCTTTCCTCTTTATAATATTAGTATAGATAAACTTTGTGCCAGAAGCTTAAAAAAATCTTTAGTCCTGCGTCAGTCTGAGATAATATCTAAAAAAAATAGAAGTTGTCTATGGAATCTAAATATTTTCTTTTTCTTTATTTTTCTTCGAATTATATATTTGCAAATAAATGTCTTAATGCACAAATAATTTCGCCGATGAGATCATCATGGTAATGCAGATGCTCAGAGAAACAATGATTCAACGAATACTTAAGTCTTACTAATGAAATGAGATATTGCTTTTGTGTGATTACTATGTCATATTATCCTTTAGTCGTATACATTTTTATTAAATAAGTAAAATAGCTAACAATACGCTTCAATTAGTTATATTCATATTAGTTAATAGTCTTTATTTTATACAACGAAAGTAAATAAGAATGCCAGTAAGATAATATTATTGTGGTTAACTATGTACTTACGAAACTATTATTTTTTTGTTACCTTAACACCTTAACATAGAATTGCAATTATGGGCTGTTGTTAGGAAAAAAATTACTCGTAAAATACGTTAGGTACCCGGCTACATATCCGGAAGAAATTTTTAGGGTGGCAATGCAAGCGTGACTAACAATAAATGAGTACAAGTAGCATTGAAAAAAACTATATTAAACCGAAAAACACTACAAACAAAAGTAGTCCCTTCACCAGAATTTTCATGATTGCGAAGTTGGATGTGGTGAGCTCACCAACTTAAAAGAGAACAATAATGCTTTGTTATAATCCAATGCCGACTCAGCTCGGCCAAGCGTGCCCGATGCAAATACAGAAGATATACGATCCATAGCTAGACTTAGGGTTGCCACCCTGTTGTTCTGAAGAGTTTTTTGGGCTTTCGTGATGCATTTAAAGCCTGTAGGCTATATTACAGTTTGACAATATCTTCGCTTCTTTCGCTTGGCTAGATGTAGTTTTCTAGTCACTCGCCGATATGCTGGAAAATCGCAGCTGATTTATTATTGAATGTTGACAACCCTAGCTACAATGCATGTGATAGAATCGTCAGATAAATGAATAATATTGTGCGCCAGATGCACGCTAATACAGTTACTGTGAAAGTTATGAATTTCATTTTAAACAGTACATTCTTTGGCAGGCAGTTATTTATTCTATTTTTAAAATATCACAACTTTAGTATATAAATATGTATTGTCATTAGAATCTGGGGATGTTATTATTATATACTGAGGATATATTAATATGCAAATTTACTAACGAATAATTTGACCAGAAAACTATTTTATGTACTATAGTATATGACCTCAAATTAACAAGTCGGCCATATTCGAATATGTGTGTCTTTAGCGATGATCAAAGCATAAAAATATTTTAGAAAGGGATATACATTTAATGTGATACGAAAACATTTGAGATTTCGCAAATTAAACGAGTACAACAATCAATGTGAAGCATGCAAGTGTGTTGTGAACTTAGTGAACATCTCAAACCGGATCCTTTGAAGTGAACACAAAGAACAGGGACCACTCTCACCTATGTTTCAATTGTTACTTGTAACAAACAATATTTTGACCTAAAACAAGCTTGTGACTCACTAACGCTAAAATAGACATTTACAACTTTTCAAGGCTCTGTGAAATTATATAAATGTATGCATAGAGTTGATATATTGGGATATCGACGAATAGAAAACTAAGAATATTACAATAGACTCATATTTAAATCAAAATTTATAAAATAACTAGCGAACCCAGCTGGTTTCATTTGCGTTGCGTTGTTCGGGAAAATATTATAAAAAAAATAATATTAAAAATGTTCTGGAGTTTACTGGAGTTGGGTTTACAATGATAATTGTAATAAATCAAGCTATTTGATTGGATCTCAACAGGAAACATTAGGCTTCTTTGTTTTTTTTACTATGGTCAAGTGACAAACACTAACACCAACAATTATTTGTTGAGCACAGATTGTTAGTTGGCTCTTTTGTCGCCTTTTGTCATGAAAACTATAATACTATAATGACAAAGGTAATATATACATTAGTAGTAAAAAAAATATATAAAAAAGTAACAAGTTTAAACGTTCCTTATTATATTTTTTTAATTCTATAAGTCATTGAACACACCAAGGTTATTTGGTTTTGTTGGTAACATAATAATAAATATACTATACTTTTCAGATAGACTTAGTTATAACAGTCATTGTCACTATATCTCAAGGGCATTTAATATATTATAATAATACATGCTGTTCCCTTCGCTTAGCTTAAACATGAAAACCAATTTTTTACCCGACTAATAGAAAAGTAATGTTTAATTCTCATTAAGCGTTAGTCACGGTTACTAATAATACTTATAGAGTGACAATTAAGAGCATGTTTTCCAAAAATATAAGCACGTTTTTTAGAATTTCTTGAACAGAATTTATTGAATTGTAAATGTAAATTTCCTACTACATATGTGAACACGTTGATTAAACAGAAACAAAAGTCTCGATAACACAATAAAGATGTGTTAATTTATATTCAAGACAAACAAGAAATTATCAAGAAATCATCGTGGGACAGCCGTCTTCCATGTAAGGTGTACCGTGTAGTTTGTTTGGAAATTCACACTCGCCACCTGCGAAGCGATAGCGTCATATTGGAACGAGTACATTCATGTGCGATCTCGTAAACAAAGCTTACACAATATTATCTGTCATCAATGTAATTATAACTGGCATTTGAATTTTATCATAGCGCCAAGCTTTTTAAAAGTAAAAAATAGAGAAAAAATAATAGAAAAATACAACACTGGCCTGCAATAATTTCGTTTGATAGATGATATGCATTTTTTATTTCTTTTTTTCCTGTACTATATACGTACCTTTCTATCAAGTATTTGAAATGGCGTATTTCATTCCAATTTTCTTGGAGAAATATGAAGCTATCGCTACATCTACGATTCTTAAAGTAGATTATTGAATCAAAGACCTAAATTAATGCTTCGCGCATTACATGCTGTAAGGAAACCATTTTGTTTCTAATATGTCAGATGTCCCAGTGAAGCAAATGGTAGACTTTATTCACTAATATACTGAACAACTGGACTTTGTAAAAATACCATTTACGTTATAACAATTGTGTGCATAACCATTTCTAACCTAAAGATGTAGCCTATATCAAAAAAAATATCTTATCGCCCAATGTCATCAAAAGATTAAACAAGTCAGATAAGGTTTTAGAGTTGTAAATAGAGATAAGCCGAGAAATAACCAGATGAAGCCACGTGCTTTGCTTGTAGAGATAATAATATTGTGTTAAGATTTTGACCAAAATTCACAAAATAACGTAAGTATTTATAATGAATTAATATCTATTGTTATAGTCACAATAATCTTATGACATCTTACTTCTTACTAATATTATAAATGTGAAAGTTTAGATGGATGGATGTAGAGCTAGATGTAGGACATTGTATGGAAGAACACATAGGGTACTAATTAAGCTTTTTAATTCAGCGTAGACGGAGTCGCTTGCTACAGCTAGTTTCTTTATATTTATTAAAGTAAAGTAAAATTAAAAAAAGAAGTTAATCATATCTTTTGCAAAAAATTTAAACGATTCTATGATTAACATCAATAATAAAATATGGGGGAAAAAACTAACTTCGCTTTAAGAAAGCAAGCACAACGTCGTTCATTTTCTTATACCGCTATATACGAACGGTCATAGTTTGTTTCGGTTAATATAGCACGAAACAATGGCGCATCGCTTTATGCACCGCAGAATTGCATCGCATGCGGGGGTACTACAAGACGAAAATCTTTTCTTATCGAAAACCATAAGACAAAATTGATGTCAATTGTAATTTTCAAATAAGAATGGACTAATCAATGGCTTGGTTTTGTCAATTTTCGCAGAAAAAATAACTATTAATCACAGATATTGAAATTAAAAATAACTAATATTATTTTTAACATATTACTTTTACTACGTTAACCATTTTTGTTGTTACAACACGGAGAGGATGTATTCAAATTCTTGCATAAAACGCATTGCAATGACTTGCAATTAATTTATGATATTATCACATAATCAATTCAATTTGATAACAGCGACGATTGACAGTTTTATTGCTAATCGTAATCAAATGTAATCTACATGACAAATATGTATCTTTCTTGACAATAACATAGAAAAAAAAACTAGTCTTCAACTTTTTAACATAGTTTTCCGTTCTTAGCAAGTCTTGGTGTATCCGATTGTCATAGACCACACTTAAAACCTAGATTACCAAACTTCACGAAATGAAACTTCTGCAATACTATTGCTAATAGAGTACCATAAGATCAGACCCTCAAACTACAAAACAAGACAAGCAGAAATAAAATATTTTTAATATTATAAACATTGTGGTATTGTAGACCAGTTGTAAAATACCTAATAAGTACTAACTAGCCTTGACCGAATCCAAGTCAAGAGTTTTAAAAAAAATTCATCGTCGAGACTGCTGTACTATAAATATAAGCAATAATTTTTTGAATACGTAATCCTGAAATTAAAAAATAACATGCAGTGAGATATTCGTGCTGAATTATTAAAGCTTCATTGCAAAGTTTTACATGAATACAAAATAATAACGGTAAAAGTAATGTGTTTTTGTCGAGAGGAGAGTTGTTAAGAAATGTTATTAGTTAACGGCGCTTGTGTCGCGTTAACACCTTGAACCTGAACGAATTGCTTACTCACAACATAACGACGGTCTTGCCATAGCAAAAACATCATCTTGTATTTCGGGTGAAATAAAAGAACATATAAAGATTTTAATCGACTCGCATGCCTTGTGTGGTCATATTCGCTTTTTGTATTTGTCCTAGAAAGGTTATCCTGCACTGAAAGTAATTAAATCAAAGATTTTATATTTGCAAAGCTACGTTAGTATTTTAATACAAGAGTTTTTTTTTCATAATTGTTAATTACACACTATTTTAATAAATGCACACTTTAAACTTACAAGCTAAAAGCTTAAATAAACAAAAAAAATAATTAAACCAAAATGCTCTTAAAATGTATTCTATCCTTTAACATTTTTTCACAATTTGGCAGTTGTTAAATAGCCATGGCAACACTGAGTACAAAGTACAAATGTATTTACGTAATATTTGCTTATTAGTTAAGAACATGTTAGTTACGCTTACTGTTAAAGAACCGCATGTGAGGCGAGGCGAAGGCGGGCGTTGTGCGGTTTGCGTTGGCACAAGATATGGATCACGATTCGACCGCTGCCGCACCGCAAAGACATGTTTCGAGTTTCTACTTGTGTTGTATCGAATAAATTCGAACATTCCAAGAAGGTTTTAATATTTACGGGTGGATCAAATTTAAGTTATACTTACCGTGCTTATTTCATGACTTTAGATCGATTGATAAAGATTTTTATACTGCTAATCTACTTAAATTACAAGTTTAATACTGTTTTTTATTCTCATGATGTTCTCAAGCAGTTGTAAATACAGTAATAATTTACCAAAGATGGCGACTTCATACTAACCTTTGGTATATTTGAGACGAATTACTTTCAACAATCATATATTTGAAAGAAAGATTTTTTGCAATTAAGAAGCAGCTTAAGAAATTATCCAAGTTTTCAACAAGCTGCTGCTGTTTTAAAATCTAAATAAAAATGTTTAAGTAAATTGTTTTTGTATATTTTTAGCTATACTTAGCGATGATGCAATCAATTTGAATATATGAGAAATATGCAGGAAATGTAATAATGTGATGCGCTATCATTTCGTGTGGGAATAAATAGTGTTATTGATTTTATCAAACACGGCTATCGGGCCATAGGATAAGATAAGCGAGGAATAACAAGTAGGTACACAATATCGCTACAAAAATTGCAATGTATTCTTTACGACACCATAACAATAGCAGGTAAAGCAATGTTTACTGTGTAATATTTATTTTTAAAATTTAATAGAAATAGGTACGTTTATTTTATCTTTATGAATTTAAAATGTTATTATTTTATTTATTTTATAGATGCAATCAATGTTAATAAAAATTAATACATTTCTCTACTTCCCAAATATTGATATTTACAAATGAAACATTAAAGTCCGAAGTCTTTTATTTAACAGACAAAAGTTCGCGTTGTCTCCTTTCTGATTTTAAAATATGTTTTGTTTCATTTCAAAAACTAAACACCTTTTGAAACTGACATTATTAAGACCCCAGTATTCATTTGCAGTCTTCTGTAAATATCAATAACAAAATTTGCCTCCGTGTTAAATTTACATTCACAAAAACAAAGGACGAAATTGCGACAAAGATGAATATTAACACGCTTTGTTTTAAAATTTTCGAAATTTCTTTGTTTCATAAAACTGTGGCTGCAATATGTTTTAAACAGGGATTTTGGTGCCAGAAAGAGCTAGACGTGATACCTTTTTAGATATTTTTTTTAACTTAGACACTTTAATTTATGCTCACAAAATATGTATTTACATTTTTAGTTCTACTGTACATTGTAATTATCATTCAGAATCTTTTATATCCTTTTCCTTGTTAAATAAATTACATATGTTTTAAAAAAAAACCATGAGTTGAACGCAGTGCTTTGAAATATTTATTATTTTGCTCTTTTAAATGTTAAACACAGGTTTTTTTAACTTTATATCCGTAAAATATAATTGTAGAGAAAGGACAAACAGTACTTTTAATATGAAGGCCACTTAAACACCTGCAATAGCAGATGCGTTACTGTTTTACTTTCAATTTAAAAGGATATTATCATTATATCGCAGTTGCAATTTCCACTATCGAAATACCTATACGGAAACATATTGCTGTTTCTCATATTCTCTTGGGAAAAAAGAGATAGTGAAATAATACATTTTAAATGTTAGTTAGTGGTAAATAATTTTAATACGACTGTTCAAATTAATTATCAGTAACCAATCTCCTTCAAAAATAATGATATTACAGTATCTTTTATGACTTATAAATTACCAGGATCGTTCTGAAAGTAAACACTGTTGCTTAACGTACGAGTAAGCGCTAGCTTTCGTCCGCAACTCCGTCGGCACGGTGTCAAAAAAACCACGTCACAAGTAATTTATATATTCTTCCAGACTACGTTCTACATCTCTGCCAAATTTTATCAAGATCCGTTGAGCCGTTCCGGAGATATCTTCAAACATCCATCAAACCATTCGCATAGATAATATTAGTAAGCATTTGTTGAGCTGGTTGACTTTAACAAACTATTTTGTTACAAACGAGTGTACTTTGATAAACCGATGAATAATTTGAATGTTAACAATTTAATCTAATTGAATGTCAATACCAAATAAGCCAGTTTTTTATCTTTACTGGAACCAAAACATTGCGAAAAGATACCATTGTAACACTTCCTTCAATTATTCCGTACACGTTCTGTTTGATTACTAAGGAGGTTATCGAACTAAAAATCAACATAGAAACTGAAAAAAATCGTACAACTTTGAGTAAGGATTAGGTGACAAGTAGTGGGTCCTTCCGGCGTTGCGGCGGAAGTACCACGTGAGTCAGGCGAGGTGTGCGCGTGCGCCGCGCGGCCATTGTCCACGCATCGCCGACTGTGACGGCCGATGCCGACGTGATCTGTATGAACCAGCCTAGCGTACAACCTGCATTATTTTGCAATGTTTTTATAAACATGTTGCTCTAGATCTAAGATGGAAATTCTAAATTAACAATACCATATAATTCTGTACCACAATATTTGATTTACATTTGTAGTTGGTTAATATTTTTGTGGTTAGCAAGATAATATTATAAATGCGAATATTATAGATGGATGGATGGATGTTTGTTAAAAGGTATATCCAGAAGGACTCAACGGATCTCTATGAAAATAAGCATACTTAAATAACATAGTCTGAAAGACCACATAGGCTACTAATTATAATATGTTTTTTTTAATTACGTGCGGACGGAGGCGCGGGCGATAGCTATATTAGAATAAAACTCGAGAGTAGATCATTTTAGTTATGCTAATATATACTTCTAACGTTAGGATAAAAAGAAAAAAAATAAACGAACTCGTTTCGTTCTTATTCACACATTCATTAGACAACTTTACACTGCGCTGTACGGAAATTATGTTTTATATTTTGTTGCCTTTCCCACTTAACAATTTATTACTGACCTCAATCTAAAAATAAATGCCTTATAAATTATCTTATAATTCTTATAGGTTACAAATGAAATGCAGTTTTGTATAATTAATTATGTAATTCATAATATCAGGTTCTAAGCGTCGAAAATTTGACATATTTACATATAATGTATTAATAAGCAGAAAAAAACTGAGATACATTGAATATATTCGACTTTCTGACAAGCGTCTGAATAAAACTTATCCTAAGAGAGCATGGAGATAGACATGTGACAACATTCGATACAGCGTCCTCACACAATACGCAAATAAAACTAAACAATGAGCACTCAACACTAGCGGACACGAAATTTAAATAATTTAATACTGTCCCATTCGTATCCAAACATACATAGAATTCAAATCACTTTGTATAACGAAGACCATTTCGGACATATCGCATCGACTTTTTGAGAACTTAACAATAGTAAATGCGCAACAAGCCTCACAAATTATCAACAGCAATAATATTCAATCACGTTGTATAATAGTTATGAATTATCACAACATATTACTTTTATGATACAAGCAGAATACATTCATAGAAGATTTATATACATATGAGTCATGTTTTCCAGTAAAAGTGACTCTACATACATAATATGGACATGAATGAATATTTTAAAATGAGAGCTCAGAACCGTTAGGCCCACGCGGAAGTATTCGAGGTTACTCCTACTTAACTTGAAGATGACATCCGAATGCATAATTAATAATCTTTACATGCACTAAGCGAGGTCAATACAGTTCAGATAAACGTTAAAGCAGATTGACTAAATGTCATCACTTAATTCTGAAACCTTATGACTGAGATATCGTATTTCACCACACACTTGCTTTCGAAAAACTAGTTTTGGTCCCGGGCGTTAACGAATCAATAGTTTTTAAAACACTGGATATCACAAAATACATATTACAATGTACGAAAACACCTGGCGAAGGTGGGGCCAGCACATCTGTCCCTTGTAACAACAGTGCTCGCGATGCACTGAAAGGTCAGTCTTTATCACGCAACAATTCTGATTTGGCTCCTTTCTCGTTGCTATGGAACGAAAAATTTTGATTATCTTTATGTATGTATGCCTTGTCCAGTTTAGCAGCCGGTAATTCGTTATCTTGGGGTGCAGTTGTTTTTATCGTCGGTACCGGGGACGGATCAATGTTTTCATACTGACAAAATTCCTTTAGCCAACGTTCCGAATTGTAGGAAGGTCCCTCTCCGCCCAGCTCTGCAGGAAGAATGTCGAGAGGTAACGCATCGTGTAGCGTCGATAGATTATTTCCGTGTAATACAATTCTTTCCCTCGTCTTCGCTTTCAAATAGGGTTTTATTACAGCTAGGGCGGTCTCTACGTACCAAGGTTGTCCAATAAAATGTATGCTCTTAAACCGAACCGGCATACAGTCCTGAAGGCAGTCGATCATTAACTTTAAAACTTTTGCTTGCAAACTGCACGACTGTTTGAATGTAAACTCGGTCCAATCCACAATAATAACATAGCCGTTGGCTTGATTTTGAACTTCGTTTAGCGTCCGCTCCAGCGTGAGCAACAACGCCCGGTAGACGGAGAGCAACGGGCACGCGTGCGGCGTCCAGTTGGACGCAAACATGAGCAGCACGCACCTGCCGCGCCGGTCACGCTGCGAGAGCACGCCCGGAAGACCGTCGGCCAGGGCCCGTAGTACACCGCCGTCCGCCACCGCCCACAGCTCGGGGTGTTCGCGCCGGTACTGGTGGTAGCGAACTAGCAGCTCAAAACTCTGCTGCACGTCGTGTTTGCGCGCGTATAGAAACCGCCGCAAAAAGTTGTCATCTTGACATCGACTCTTGTCGCGCAGGGCGAGGTTGAGACTCGAGTCGACGGCCTCTTTTAGCCCGTCGAGGGCCCGTTGCCTGTCTCCGTCGGTGAGTCTCTTTCTGGATACGTCACAGAGGCGCTCGTTCTGCATCTGCTGCAACCTCCAGTCGTATTCGGCGTACTCGTTCATGTCTGGCGTGGCTGTGAGTCATGCGGCCTTTCACTGTAGCGACGTGAGGTGCGCGCGCGCCGCCTATGCCCGAGGCCGACTGCGCGCCGTGCGGCCGCGCGCCGCCGCCATCGCTGCCCGTTCATTAAACCGCGTTGTGCTACCTTTACATTACAAATCTACGCAAGCTACTTGTACAAGTACACTTGAATATTCAATGATGTATGGTTGTTTAAATTGTATTTAATATTTTGAAAAAAAATTGAAATGTGTCTTTGCTCCATTATAATTATAATAAATTATAATTGCAAATACAATTATAATTTAAGGTTTGTACCTTAGAATGTAATCTATGACAGTAAACACGACAATAAAAATAAATTTTATTGTAAAACAGCAAACTAAGCCAACCAAGTTATGACGTACAAATATGGCGAGAAAATATTGAAGTATTAAAAGAAAATATGATTTCATTTATGCATTTTATGCTTAATCCGCTGGCGCAGTTACAAAGTTGATCCTTGACCTTCGATTAAAACATGTATTTCATACTTAATTTAATTTAAAAAATAATGTATGTTTCATAATTTGACTGGAGAGTGAAAATTGTGACTAAAATTGTTTAATTTTTACTATAGTTGTATAAATCATAAATATTAAAATATTTTTATAAAGTACAATTTACAAGTTACCTCAACTGAACTAGAACATTAAGTTTATCAAGTGCTCTCGACCGTTCGAAGGGGGCACAACTTACCCAGCCAGAGCGAGTTATAAATAAAAGAAAAACTGAAGGTTGACGTTATACCGGTCAATTGGTTGGCTGGTTGGTGCGCTGACGTGCGCTGCTAGGGACGCTACACGAGTGCGAGAGGGACGGACAACTTCGTACCACAGTTTCGAAGCCTTATACGTATTATAAACGAATGGCCGAAAATCGTATAACGTCCGTGCTTTGTTCACTTTATCGTATACCTCGTAACCGTAAGCGGTAACATTTATTACACGAGTAGCATTTTTAAGACAACACTCGTGGAGTTACTGTGAGACGATATATCGAGAAGTCATTAGCCATACGATCATTTACGACCAGTATAACTTGATAGTCACGCGCATACACATACAAACACACATCTTCATTATACAATAGAAAACTCAACATACAAATAAAGCTATCTCTTAGTCATTTACTTAAAAAAAATAATTTGTACAGTTCGATGTAACTTAAAAGATAATACGATTGATTTATACTTAAGTAAATACGTTTTGAGCTTTAGAAAGACATCAACGAAACGTGCAGCTATGTGCTGTTGTGGGACATAGAATTGTTCGCTCCCTTGGGTTCACTTTCTCTTCAATATGTAGGTAACTATATCATTATATACTTAAAGTATATATCCTCTGCTTTAAATATAATTGAAGAACATAGCTAAAAAAATTAAGTAAGTTTCTAAAAAACTTAACCGATTGAACTAAGATTTTATACATTTACCATCTTTAAACGTTAAAGCAACGTAGTAAAAAAGTGTATAATATTCAAATCACGATCGAAAATAATATAAGAAAAAAGCAATCTAATGATTACTTTTAACTTTCACAACATATGAACAAAAGAGCATCAAATATGTTTATGTTTTCTAATGACTAAGGTTTATTTGTGATTGATGTTGGTACATTAGTTTGAAGGGCAATGACTTTTTAAAAATTAACCGTGTCGATGCATCTCATGGTCGTTGCCCCTTGTGACTAGGCTTGTCGTGCGATGTAAAAATAGACTGGCGACTACTGTAGAGTGAAGATGCGCCTCAGACACCGCATTGCCAACAACTTGAGGTAATTTACTTACTGAAATTAAAACTAAAGTAAAAAAATGTTTTTGTAAGTACGTATTTTGATTGGTCAGCTTTAGGTAGAATAGAGTTGAGATAATTCCGAAGTAGATTTGGTGAACACATTCAAAATACTCTCCGTTTTATTCTTGTTTTTTTTTATATTTAGAAGTATTAACACGTAGATTTTTTATTTTTTTGAACATAGTCCACGGTTCTTTCCCACTCTACATTTTTCTAGGTATCCCTATCGATATTGCGAACCAGAATTGCTGATATCCCTGATAAGCTCTAACAGATAACAATAGATAACGACGAGATTTGGATTAAGGACCCAGTGAATGTAATAAATCATCTAGAAATTAGACTTACAATTTATGTAAATAATATTTCAATTAAATCAATAAGTAATATAATACAAAAAACTTAATTTATATTTAGAGTTTTAAACACATTGACATAAAAAAGAGGACCAAAGATTTCGTAAAACCACATTAAGAGCAAAGAAAGTCAACATACAAATAAAAAATTACTTACATGTGCAAGACCATGATTATAAAAATAAATACTATTATATTTTAAACATTAATCTATGTTAGTTGTTCTCTCGTTTAGACATCTTAATATTTTTTCGGTCAGTAGATAAAGTGTTTCAGGTCTCATTATCTAGGTAATTTAGATGATGATAACTGCGGCATTTTGTGTTCAAAACAAACAAACAGACGTCTGTCAGATAAGTAAATATAGTGTGTGCACCAAGACATTATCTGACTCATGCGACGGTGATAAGTGCCTATTTCCACTTAGGAGCTAGCCACAAGAATACGCGCGGCTTTCAGTCTGAATATTCAATTGATACAGTGCAGTTAAAAGTAGAGGTCCAGCAAGAGTCGCGCGATAATTCTGTCTGCGTAGTCTTTGTGTGTTTTCAATGGACGCTACGATCGCTTTTATTGGTTCAAAACAAGTTTCGACGTGTTAGTCTTAACCTAAATCCTAAAATGACGTAATCTGAGTCACAATGTCTATAACTTATTTAAGCTTAATCTTAAGAAAAGATCTATTTTCTTTTTTTGATACTTCACTATTACCCTGCTATCAGTAAAATTAATAATACGAGATGTAAAAACGTTGCCACCCCTTTTTAAAGAATCGTGTAAACGGATAAAATTAAAATTGACACAGTTAAAATTATTATAGAAAAGATGCGCATAGAGGTATTTTCAAATAAAAATAAAGCTTTGATTTTTAGTCTTTGATTTTTTTAATTATGGTCGACTTTCGACCTATGTTCCTATGATATTTTTTAATCATGTACAGCCTGTCTACAGTTAAATAATAAACATGTGTGATATAAACTAGGTGTCTCTGATTACAGAAGATTTTTTTATCAATGTAGGACAACGTTTTAGTTTATCTATCTCAAATGTAAGAATAGTAACAGAGTTTTTTTATAATACATCTTCAATTCCCATCTGTTGTATATTTTAAAAAATACAAGTAAAAACAATGTATGATCTCCGTATGCTAATATTTATATATCGTTATGATAAATCGTCATGATATACAGCGAAAGATAACTTTCCCTGCACTGAGTAAACATAGTTTATTAAACAATACTGCTTTACATAGTCTTTGATCTGATTATTGATAAACGTCTCTAGCACACTACCACGAAAGCGAACTGGAAGCGAAACGAAACATAATTCTATATTATACAGGCATGGATTAGGTTTGATCCAATGAACTATTACAGTCAGGTAACTTGGTTAGACACTACTATGCTGTGACTGACATGGATTTCAAGTGTATATTTGGAGAGTCTTGCTCTTCCCAGGGACGGAGCTATTTTTTCACACATTCGCGGCCCCGTTGTCTGGCGCAAAACGAGGCCGCGAATGTATAAATATTGGTTTTTAATACGACAAAATCCGCTCTTGCCTGCTAATGGCGTATCTGCTGAGACATTTTCAACTTATAGAGTTAAAAAAAATAGTTCATAATACGAAATATACCTTACGTCGCTTCTTCGCTTCAGTTCTACGGTACACTAGAAGCGTTGCAACAAAGAATTCATATGCTCTATGGGCATCGACACTATCGATCTAATTCCATAGATATCAGATGCATGTTCGAGGTTAGAATTTATCGATATTATCTGCTGCTGTATTTATCATGCAAATGTTTCTTGCCTCAAGAGAAAATGGAGAGAGCGTGCGCGTCCAAGTGTATAATGCACTTTTATGTTACCTGCTCGTCCGTCAAAATGTTTTTACCTAATAAATACAGCTGAAATCGACAGCTTGTCAGATTTTAGCTCACCAACTTAATATTACATAGCAATCAGTATCGCGAATCATTTGCATGTATATTTTATAACACTATTCGGATTTTTTAATAACTAAATTTACTTGTTGTATAGGAAAGAGGTGTGAGGAATATTAGCTGTTCAACTTATATTAAGAATATAAGTATATTAAGAGGTGAAAAATATATTTTTGTACTTGTATTTCGGTTAAGTATAGAGATCGCTAAAATGGCGGACAAAAAGCGGCCTCAGCGACGGCAAGGCTGTCGGGCCGGTACCCTCGCTCGCCAAAAATTAACTTGAACTCGTTTCACGCTACTCATATGTCGACATTAAAGTTGTTAAATAAAATTATTTCACATTTTAGTAGTCGGTAATGCACAAAAAATAGAACGAACACTTTTGTTTTTATTATCCACATATTGATAAATAACCTAGTATTTAATATGTTTTAATAATACATTGACGTACAAAATTCTAGAACCTAAAGTAATATTAAACACGTTGACTCTTTAACAACTCTATTTGATATTTTATAAGTCGATACAGGGCCTGATACATGAACTCTATCAACCGATACACATGTTTACATTAGAAGAAGAAGAAGAAGAAGAAGAAGAAGAAGAAGAAGAAGAAGA